CTGGCAGCTGAGCCTGGGACCAGCCACTGTCAGTCAAATGAACATTGCAAATGGCTGACAAGGCGGTACGCAAAACATCATCAAATCTGCCCAACAACGATGGGTTAATGTAGCTGGATGTACGAAGAAAATACATCATTTTGGGCAAACTGAGGGCGCTTCGGACAATAGTCAGGGCGTCGTGGGCGGAAAGATGAGACACTCGGTCGAGGGCGAACTTAAGTTCTGAAAACTTTTTATCAAAAAATTTAATTTGGGAGTCGCCCTCGAACAAGGGTGTGCCCAAAAGACTTAAATTTGATTTTTGAACGATGGGTACGTCCGCCAACACCGGTGGCAAATGTAGTGAATCTTTAAAATAGAGTTCACATTTATTGGTGTTTAACTCTAGCCCAATGGTGTTGGCTTCGTTTTTCAAAAATTTGTAGTTTTCGGCCAGTGTTTGGCTCTTTGAAGCAATGCTAATGTCGTCCAGGTAGCCACAAATGAAAACGGACGACAGTTTTTCCAACAAGGGATGCAGGGTCAATGCAAATAAAAGAGGTCCCAGTGGATCACCCTGTTGCACGCCCTCGGACGATTCAACCACCCAGGTGTGATAGCCAAGCGAAGAAGCGAGGCCGTAAGCAGAATGGCAGAAATTATATATTCTGGGGCAGAAACATTTGACGGCCTCCAGCATTGAATCTCTTCTCATAGCGTTAAAGGCATTTTTAAAATCGATTTTTAGGAAACCCCATTGATTGGGGAGGTCTGTGACCAATTTTCGAACGGCGTGAACGGCGGCCTCAGCACCTCCTTTCACGCCAACGCCCAATTGAACCGGGTAAAATTTAGCTCTCATTTCATCCATTACCAGGTTCAAAGCACATTTGCTCGCCAATCTACGCCAACAGTTACCAACAGCGATTGGCCTAACTCCTCCATCTTTTTTGTTCAAGGCTATCAGGCGGCCTCCAAAAAAAAACGGCAAACCGTGGGTGGACAGGCGCCCGACAGAACCAAATTTATAAAATTCGTTAGGAAATTTAATAGGTCGTCAATTGGCAGGGGGCCGGAAAGTAGGTCTTTGAGATGCTGAGGACGCAAACCGTCGAGATCCCCGGATGAGCCATTTCCAAAAGACCTTATGGCTTTAAGCACCTGGGTGGAAGAAACGCAACCACTTGTTGGTTCCTGCGCAGGAAAAGCACGCCTGTCAGTTGGAGTTTTTGGATGTATGAACCGTAGTTTTTCTAAGGTTTCAGGCGTGTTTCCTGCCAGGCCCTCGGGCGAGCAGACAAGTCTGACAGCTGCTGAAACGTTTCCCTGCTCTATGCAAGAAGACACCGCATTTATCCACCGGTCAGGGTTGTGGCCGCGTGGATTTGCGTTGATGTGGTTTTCAAAACCCGAGAGCAGGGACGTAACCTCAATCGTGGAGTATTCGGACAGGCGCTTGTTAATCTGGTTGCCTTGGTTGACCCGGCGTCCCCCTCTGGCAGGTTTTTGAAGGACGTATGGAAAAAACAAAAAAAGTCTGCACCAGTGAGCGGGATCGCCGGAGTCACAACAAACGGCCGTCAGTAACTCGTGCAGTGCTTTGCTACATTTTTCTCTACACGGTTTTGGAATGTGATCGTGCAGTGGTACGCGTTTCAAAACAGCCGTCATCCTGTCAAAAAAAAGGGGGTAATCCAAACTGGTGGGAATCTCCGAAACTGATACGGACGCACCCATTATGAGTCCATCGCTAGATGCGGCTACGTGAGGCGGACCGGTCACAACCTGTGGTGCATCCACCTTTTTCCTCGAACCCGAGCATTCCTGGCCTTTAACCCTTCCACCATGACGGCAAAGTTTCCCGTCTGGTGTGATCTTGTAGTGATTGGAGCAAACAGGGCACTGGTGTAAAACCGGGGCCATACATGTGATTTGGTGAGATAAGTAATTTTAACAAACAAAAATTTAAATGAACTAAGTACGTTTAAAATTTAAAATACGAAATTATAATAAAATTCTAAGGTAATGGAAAAAGTACAGGTAAGTTATGAATAATAATATAGCAGCGCACAGTTGAGGCAGGTTCGAAAAAAGCAACAGCTGTGCGCTATGAATTAACCATGCCAATTAAAAAATTAAAAGTTGAAAAATCTAATTAAATCAACAAAAAACCAAGGCAAACTGCGACAAAATGACGTGAAAGACTCAATCCCAGGATGATAACACACAAAATAATCCAAAAGTTCAATAAAACAAGAGTTTAAAAACATGTTAAAATACAAAATTTAAATTGAATTCAAAAATCGGCCGGCGCAAGTGTGAGCTAACGATATGTATGTATGTATGTGTATTAAATTTGTATGTATGTATGTATGTATGTATGTATGTATGTATGTATGTATGTATGTATGTATGTATGTATGTATGTATGTATGTATGTATGTATGTATGTATGTATGTATGTATGTATGTATGTATGTATGTATGTATGTATGTATGTATGTATGTATGTATGTATGTATGTGTTTATGTATGTATGTATGTATGCATGTATGTTTGTATGTATGTTTCTCCCTATGCTATGGCACTGAGCAATTTAACGTTTAACAAGACATAAACATCGTATACACATACTATATATATATATACATATATGTATACATATATATATATATATATATTTTAAAACATACACATACGTATTACATTTATACGCATTTGGTATATACGACGATGAGCCATCTTGTGACGCCAAACGAAGGCGAAAAAGATGTATGACAGTGATGTAACTATGTAGGTTGTGTTTAAAGTTTAACGATGATATCATATATGGGTAAAAATTAATTCAATTTTAATTGTAAATTAAATCACCGAAAAATTGGTCCTTTATTTAAAGTTGTTGAATATTAAACCATCAATTTAACTCCTAGAAATATCTGACTATGTCCACAAAAATACAAAAACCAATACTCAACAATATACAATGATACAAAACAGTACTCTATGATAAAAAATGATACAGCAACATACAATGATACATAGTGATAGATAATGATACATGGCAACATATAAGAAACTAAAACACTATTTCGATATGATGAAGATTTGAAATTTTTTTAAAACAGTTAACCTTACCTCTCTTATAAAGACATCATCGCCGACAAATCAGTTAATAAAGTGAGTGTTGTTATTAATGTTGTTCAAATATTGTCATAATAATAATAATTATTATTTTTATTATTTGCTGTCGTTATTATTATTATTATTATTCATTAAAATTCATTCATTTTTTCATCTTTTTTCGGATTTTTGTTGAAAAATATAATTTAAAGACACAAAATTGACAAAATCTTATATAATGGTAATAATTATAACAACAAAAAATTAAAACAATCAAAAAATGATAGAATAATAATAATATTTATAATAATAATAATAATGGATGTTGAAGTTGACAATGATTATAAATTTATCAACGCTGATGATGACTTTTTCATGTTCTCGTAACTCTCACTTTGAATATGATGTGATTAAATATAGTAAGAAATTCAAAACCATTTAATACCATAAATGGATAAATTAAAGCATGAAAATAATGATGGCACCGTAAACTTTCGTACTTCTCATCCGAGAGTTCGTTGTAACCGAGTGCTTGATAGCGAAGTTTCAATTGAAAAAATTAAATTTAGAGAACTGGACGGCATTCAACCTCGAGAGTATATCAGATCCCTCAAATCAAGATTCATTCAAACAAAAACAATCAGAAAACAAGCAAAAACAAAAACAATTGCCTGTGATTTTTGAGATGATTTCATTGGAAAGAATGGATTTGGTATGCAACAGGCAGGCATGCAGGCATTCTTTCAACAAGCAGCACATGACGAAAGTTCGCATGAACGACGTTGAATTATTTAGGCAAATGAAATCAGGGATAGAGTAAAAACAAACAAAAAAGAGAAGAAGAAACAAAATAAATATTTGCATTTCAAACTATGGACACGACAGCCTCATTCAGCGTAACATCAATGGCGATTGGAGCGAATTATTTGATAAAAAAAACTGCCAGGCAAAACATGCTAAAACAATGCAAAAACTGCTTGGAGGAAAGGGCATTAAATAAAAATATGCAGAAGAAAAAGAAGGACAAGAATCAATTCCCAGTAGCTGACTCAGTGGTGAACACACGATCTAAAAAAAATAAAATAAAAATTGAGTACCCGAGAAGAGGCGTATAAAAAAAACAAGCAGATAAAAAAAAATCAGAATAGCAAAACTAGCAAAACAAACAAACAAACAAAACGAGCAGACAAACGAACGAACGAATAGATAAACGAGCAAACAAACGAACGAAAAAACGAGCGAGCAAACTATACGAATGACAAAATGCATTTGGGCCAACAAAACAACTAAAAAACATTGAATGATTGAGAGGAACATATATAATGCTAGCAAAACATCTAATGAACAAAAACTTAGACGAGAACAATATAAATGAGAAAAGTAAACAAAGAGAAAAAACCACAATAAAGTTAATAACAACACTCCATCATCATCAACATCATCTTCATTGGCACAAATGATGCCACGCAACACAACAATCCTTGTTGCTTCTGTCTGCATTGCATGTATGCCTGTCTGCACAGGTTTATGTTTGTTTTGTACCCGCCTCTCTCTTTTTTTCTCTCTCTCTTTTTCTCTCTTTTATTCTCATTATCTTTATCTGTATTTCTTTCTCTATTTTTCTTCTTCCGTTTTTCTGCCTCCCTGTCTATTTCTCTTTCTTCTGCAATTTTTGCATTTTTTGTTTTTTTAAGCTCTCTTTTCTCTTTCTTTTTTCTCTATCCATCTCTTTTTTCCTCTTTCTCTCTCTCTCTCTCTCTTCTGTTTCTCTCTTTTATCTGCCTCTCTTTTTCTCTGTCTGTCCCTCTCTTTTCTCTTTCTCCAACATTTCGCACGCCAATTCTAAAGATGCGTTTGTAACAGCAGCATAGAAGACCCGTGCACGTTACGAGAGTAATATTAAGAGAGTGCAGACCTCATGAGTACAGTACACGAATACGTAGGTACACCTTTTAGAGTACATTAGCGTGTACATCCTAAAGTACATTAGTACGTCATTAGTACATTCACAAGTACATTCCTCGTTCTTAAGTACATGCCTCGCACTTACTAAGTGCATTAGTACTCATGTCTGCTGAAGAGCATTAACACATACGTCCTAACTACATTACTACGTGCATTCTAAGTGCATTGGTACTTAATCCTAAGTAACATTAATATACATTTCTGGTGAAGTTTACTCTTAAATGAACGACCAACACGCGTAAGTAATTTTATTTATTTTTACCATAATTCATATATTACTTGACAATCAAAATGATCACACACACGCACACACACACACACACACACACACACACACACATATATATATATATATATATATATATATAATGTAAGAAATTTTTCCATGCGAACGTATATTATAGGTTTTGGATGTAATAAATAACACGTTGAGACTACGAATGACTGGTTGGCTGGAAGGATAGGTGGATGGACGAATGGATGGATGGATGGGTGGATGGATGGATGTAAAATGCGTGCCTGGTGAATGAAATTGCGATATATGTGGCTAACATTAATCAAGGATCATCAATTTAAGACTGCTTTGTGTTGTGTTCTTCGAGCTGGTTGAAGATGTTAGCGCTGTTCACACACACACACACACCACACACACACACACACACACACACACACGCGTACATTTACGCTCACACACGTACACACAAACATGCTACACACACTCACAGACACATACCACACTCACAAGCACAACAATTTTAAACTATGAAATTATGATTATGATAACTAATGTTATCCTAATCGTCATCATTATTTTCATCACTTCCGTCATCATCATCATCATCATCATCATCCTTATTAAAGTTATAATCATAATAGTACAAAATGAGGTCAACATGTTTATAAGTATATGTGTGAACGTTGAATGTTCCTTGCCTCTCTCTGTCTAGATGTAAGCCATTTGTCATCATCATCGTCGCCATCATCATCACATCGTCGTCATCATCGTCATTACTCTTATCATCATAGTTTTCGTTATCGTAGTCAGCATCATGGTCGTCTTCATCATCATTATTATCATCATCGTCGTCGTCGTCTTCGTCATCATCATCATCATCATCATGGTCATTTTTATCAGTATCATCATCATCATCATCATCATCTTTTATTTATCATTTTTGTTTGAAACCTCTCAGATATCATTACCACCATAGGCATGATTATCATTTTTATCTTATCGTCCTCACCACCATTATTGTCATCAGTGTCATCATCATCACCATCATCTACATCCTCATCATCATCCTCATCATCATCATCGTCATCATCATCGCCATCATCATCGCCATCATCATCGCCATCATCATCGCCATGTCTATGTGCCTATAAGGACATTTTATTGATTTTCCGTCCTACATTATATTAGCTTTAGACGTTATTTCAGCGCTTTTTCAACTGCTTTCTCTCTCTCTCTCTCTCTCTCTCTCTCTCTCTCTCTCTCTCTCTCTCTCTCTCTATTTTTGCTGTAAAATTAAAGTTAAAATCTCCAGCAAACAATTATAGTAAATTTGTTTGCACCAATTCAATCAAATTTACTCATCTTCTCTCTGATATAATTACATAATTAAATTTAATTATGCATGTTATGACGTCACACGTTCGACCTCTTTGCATAAAAACATGCTTTAATGACTCGCAATAAAGAATAGTTATGAGGAAGCTTTTTGAGAGGTTAACATTTGGTTAATTTATTTTATTGGGCAATTTAGACGGCAATAACATAGGCGCTCGTCTGGCCAGATGCGAAAATTCACAACGGCGTTTTTGCATCCTTAAAAAAAACTTCTCTTAAAAAACCAATAGATTCGATCAACGCTAAAGTAACTGGAATTCTTCTCTATAATTTTTAAATATTTAAACTTTTTATACAACATATTTCTCTATATTTTGAATAATTTTTACTTATAAATATTAAAACTGTTTACTTTATTGCTTTCTTGAATAATTTTATGGCATTACTTATGAAAATAGATGTCAGAATTCGAATGATGGATTGTTTGTTTGCGTGATGAAAGGTTATTGCAAGGTTCCTTCCAGCCCGATGATGTAGGGATGTTTTAGCAAATATTTTTTCGCATGACTGCTTGATGCTGATGAGACAATCTTGGATTTGTGTTCATTAGTACGTGTCTGATGAAGCGTACATGCAAAAGTTTGACCGCTTTCAAAAGACGGTTAGTTTTGATTCGAAAATTTACTATGGCTGAATTTTTTTAAAGGCGTTTCGATTTGTTGTGAAGCATTTAGCATTCTTCTTTCGCAGTATTTTATTCTTAAAAATTCACATTTTAGATGTTTAATCGATGTTAGCGAATATAATGAAAATATTTAATGTACTATTTAAAAATAAACTGGGGTTTGTAAAAAGAAATTAAAAGGTCGTTCATTTGCATGAAAGGACAGCAAAAGAAGATCAATCAATTGGCGGCACCTGCAGCTTGTTCTTCCACATTTTCAGCAGCTGGAATGTCGACGGCAGGTTTGCCGTCATCTGCAGGAGGCAAGACGGCCTGCACTGGTTCGGCGGTTGTTTCAGCATTTTTCTCTCCCGACGGTTCGTTCATAGGAATTGGATGTGGTGCTTGTGTGACAGTGCTCAAATCAGCCGGCGGTGGTTGAGCTTCAATTGTTTGCTCCACCAACATCACAGGCTCCACAGAGGTCGCCGGAACCTTTTCAATGTCCTCAGCTGGTGGTATCTCCACTATTGGTGCTTGTGCTTCAGCGACAACCGGTACTTCTTCTTTGGGCTCATCTTTCTTTTCTTCTGCCACTTCTTCTTTCACTTCTACTTTAGATTCTTCTTGCACCGTTTCTACAACTTCTTTATCTTTTTCAACTTCGGTCACAACAGCTTCAGATATAACTTTCTGTTCATCTGCAGCAACTTCCACTTTTTCAGACTTCGTGGCTTCCTCGGCAGTAGCAGATGCAACCGCGGGAAGTGGTTGTTCAGTTGGTTCAACTGGTTCCGCTGTTGTTTCTGTGGGCTCCACTGGCTCAACTTTTTCAACGTTAACATCTGACTTCTTACTCTCGACTGTCGTCAAGCCTTCAACAGAAACATGGCTGGCAACGTGGCCCGCTTCCTCCGTCGGTGCTGCTTCCACCGCACCTTCCACTTGCTTTTCTTCGGCCACCGAAAGTTTAGCTGCAATTTGAGCTTTAGCGTGGAAATCATCGAATTGATAGAAGGCCGCTTCTTCATCATTCTTATCATCTTTTGCCGTGGAAGCTTTTGATAATTTTTCCGAAGCACCAGCATCTATGCAGCTGTCATCACCAATCCTCGTAACCACACCCTCGCCTGTCCTCTTGCCTTCAAACCAGATGCCAGTGAACAAGAGGTTGGAACTGGCATAAGCATACTTTCCACGACCATGTCTCAGGTGATTCAGCCATTCTCCTTCGTAATAATCGCCATTCGAGTAAAAGTACTTGCCGTACCCTTGCCTCATGTCTTCGTGCCACACACCTTTATCAAATGTTCAAACTTAAATTATTGATAAAAGAATTCAAAAATTTAACTACTAATTAGCATAATATATGAATTAATGTAAATGAAACTATACCATCATATTTGGATCCATCAGGGTACATAAATATTCCCAAGCCGTGTTTCTTCCCATCCTTCCATTCGCCATTGTACGATGCTCCGTTGCTGAATGTGTACTTACCAAAACCATTTCGTTTTCCGTTCTGGTAACTTCCTATTTATACATTGGAATATGTGAAAATTCGAATACAAAGATGTAAGTTGTCGTTCAAATGAGTAACATTATATAAATGATAAAAATTAATTGAAGAGTCAGAAAATATTCAATCGAAGAAATATTTTTAAATTCAACATATGAAAATTAGTAAAATTTAAAATTATTACACTTTCAAATATTTCTTCCAATTTTTAAGTTTCTAAATGATCTTCAACAATAGACAAAGTTGAATTTTTTTTTAATATTGAACAGCCATCAAACGTTCAATTAACAAATTGGCCAACAAATTTGAGACCCCCAGCAGTAAAAACCCTGACCCTGACCTTCGTATTTGTCCCCATTTGGAAATTCGGCCTTGCCCATCCCGTGCCTCTGGTAGTGTTCGTTGTACTCGCCCTCGTATTTGTATCCTACCTCCATTGATCTTCTTTCTGCTTTTCTACTTCAGTGTTTTCCGGGTTTTAAGATACTGGAATGATTGAATGGATGGATGTTTTGGATGGATGAATGGATGGCTAATTGATAGATGGATGATGAATGGTTGATATGACGGATTGATGATTGATCGATTGATGAAATGTTGATTGGATTATAAGACAGAACAGTAAATAATCTTCAAATGAGAAACAGCACCAGCTAACAACTACCTCTTCCTCTAGTGGTGCATAATATCAACCGTATGGAAATAATGACATGAAACATTCGCAAAAACTTTTAACATTTAATTCTATTTACAAAGCACACTCCATGAAAAATTAAACAAGCACACACGCTTGTATGTACCTACGTACCACAATAACAGTATCTCGATAAAACCAATTCATTCAATAAAAATACTTCGTTTCATATACAAGGCTAATTTTTTTTAAATAAAAAAAACACGTTGTTCGCGTTTAATATTAAAAGCTCACTTGTACGTTATTTATTTTCAAAAGATTTTGCAAGCTTACCGGCTATTATGAATTGTAAATTATAAAAATTTAATATTTTTACAAAAAGTGGAAAGTTTGGGATGGAAATTTTATTTTATTAAAAATTGAGAACTTAATTAATTTTGATATAAAAAACCTCTATTCGATGTAAAATGAGCCGATGTTCTTCATGTAGGTGGTTTTTGTATTTGCTCTTATGACGTCAGATTTTTCTCTATTTAATCGCCATTCATCAGGATGTTGAGCTTCATTTTTTTTTTTTAAAAAACAACATCAAGAGGAAAATTTGAAAAAAGTTTCATGAAAAAGAAAATATTTTAATGATATTTTTCAATCAGGTAATGATACAAAAATGTTTTTCAATGTTATGAAATGTAAGTAATGTAGATTGTGTCAAGTTCAGTAAAGAGAACAAACGATTTGTAAATGTTGTCCAAAATTTTTCATCAAATGAGTCGCTATCATCATTTAATCACCAGTTCTATTTTTAGTATCATCAACAACAGCATCACCATTATCATTGTTAATATCATCATCATTAGCATCGTCATCGTTATCATCACCATCTTTATCACTGTCGTTGTTGTTAGCAATTAAGGTTGACAAGAAATTATTAGCATTTGATCGTCGACAACAGCTTCTTGAAACGTTTTACTGATATTGTTGCTGCTGCTGATGTTTCTGTTGATGTTGTTGTTGCTGCTGCTGTTGATGTTTTTGTTGATGCTTTTGTTTTTGAAGTTGTTGTTGTTGACGTTGTTGTTGTTATTTTTATTGTTGTCGTTATTTCGTGGTATTTTTTAAATCAGTTTATGTTGATTTGCATTTCTTGATGTTTTGACGGTTTCACATTGTTTAATTGTTGTTGATATTGATTTTATTTGTTAGTAATGTCATGTTGGCGTTGTTTTCATTTCTTTGCTGTTGTTGTTGCTCATATTATTATGCCATTTTGGTGCTGTTGCTTAGACACTTTAAACAACTTGTTGATGATAATAACAGAAGTCTTTTTTTTATTTGTATCTTTGTTATTTTGTTTATATTATTTTTGTTGTTTTTTTTTCGTTTTAGCTGTTTCGATGCTTGTTTTTATTTTCATTATTTTTCACTTCCGGCCATTTTTGATACGCCTGCGTAAATAACATTGTATGGATTTTTCGGCCATGTTACCTCATTACTATGACGTCAGGTTCTGTTTTTTATTGTTAGTATTATTATTATTATTGTTGTTGTAGCAGTAGTAGTGGTTAGGTAGTAGTAGTAGTTGTTGTTGTTGTTGTTTTTGTTGTTGTTGTTGTTGGTGGTGGTGGTGGTGTTCTTAACATTTTTGGTTAAGTTTTAGTTTTATATAATAAAGTTTGTTTTATATTACTCGTGCATGAGTTTCAACAACAACAACAACAACAAGAACAATATAATATGCAACATCGAAAACAAAAACAACAATAACAATAATAATAATAAAAACAACAACAACAATAACAACATCCAGCCAACGTCATCAGCAATATCAACATCATCACGACACAAAACCACCACCAGGCATTCATCTGCGGGTAGAACTGCCATTGAAAGTGACCACAAAAAGCAAACATTTAATCACGTACCATTAACAAAGAACTTTTTTTATTTTAACTACAAAACAGCATAGATACAACAATTTTTTAAAAATAATTTTCTTATAAAAACTTTCGACATCAACAACAACAACAACAACGAATATAATGAGTTTAAATAAACGTCTATTTTTTTATACATTCAATCATTCATGCATTCATACATCCAGTTTTTTATTCATTTATTTATTTGTTCATCTACCCATTCATTCATTTATTCCTTCGTTCGTTCGTTTGTTTGTTCGTCCGTTCGTTCATTTGTTCGTTTGTTCATTTGTTCGTTCGTTCATTCGTTCATTCCATTCATTCATTCATTTATTTATTCATTCATTCATTCATTCATTCGTTCGTTCGTTCGTTCGTTCGTTCATTCATTCATTCATTCATTTTGTTTCGCAATAATTTTTATTGAAATTGCAATAGATGGCATTTGGCTTGTTCATTATATTAATGTATATTTACTTTACATGAATTACAAGATAGTTATTGAACAATTTTAAGTATTTAATAAATAAATAATTTAATTTTTTTTTCGAAACAAAATTCCATTCAGCACACATCTCATTAAGAGAACAGCGGGACAGCCAACATTCAAAAAATGCTCCTTTTAAAATGAATCATTTTCTTCAACTTACTGAAAGCAAATTATTATACTAGTACTACTAATATTATTACTACTACTACTACTACTGCTGCTGCTACAACAACTACTACTGCTACAACAACTACAACTACTACAACTACAACTACTACAAGAACAAATGTTACTACTACAGTTACTACAACTACCTCTATGTAGTAGTAGTAGTAGTAGTAGTAACTTTCAGTAAAACGATAGACAGCAAAGGTAGTAATCGTACTATCAACACAATAACTTACGAAGGCATTACTTCCGCTACTGCTATAAGAAGCTACGTCATCAAACGTCATGCATAATTATTTCCGGTGGGAAGAAAACAATAAAAATAATAACAACATCAACAATAATAATGACAACAACCAAAAAAAAACAATAGCCACAGCAGCAGACCAACGGGGTACTACATAAATCAAGATCATTACCACGATCCATAGTGACGTTTGATTGGCTGTAGGTAGTCACGTGGTATTGTCGGTACTTCCGGCATAATTTGATGATGTCATTTTCTTTTCTATAATGATAAATAGCGTAGTTCTGGTTGGTCGGCTGATCGATCAATTGATTGGTTGGTCAGCTGATTGGTTAAACTACCCGTTGCTGATTGGTTGGTCGTATATATTTATATAAAAAATATTTATGATAAATGGCCGTCGTAAAAAATAACAATAATAATAACAGTAATATTAATAATAATAATAATAGTAAAATAAAATCATAGAGAAGAAGAAAGATAAAGAAAGAAAAAACGAATGAAGAAAACGCAAACAGAAAAAAAAGAGATAAAGAAAAGAGAAAGATGAGTAAGAGATAGGGGAAAATATGAGGTAAAAAGAGAGAAAGAGAAAGAGAGAGCTAAATGTTCAATCGAACGTTATCAACGTGCATGGCGTGTTTATAGGAGATTTTTTAATCTCCGGATAGATGCAATCTGCTTGAGAGGGTCGTCTACATGCACAAAATTTCAAGAAAGGAATGGCTTCAAAAAAATAATATTTGAAAATAATTTTATGGGAAAGGAATGTTTGAAATAAAACACACGCACGCATAAGCACGCACGCATAAGCACGCACGCATAAGCACGCACACGCACAAACACACACGCACAAACACGCACACACGCACACACGCATAAACACACACATATGCGTATGGTTGTTTTGCAATTTGTGTTGTATACTTTTTAAAATACAACAACAACAATCACGGCCATGATGTAATAGAAAAAAACTCCATCGAAACAACAGCCACGAGAAAAAAAAAACATCAACAACTACATCTGCAACACATTGGCAGCAACAACACAGCAGCACAACAGCAACCACAACCGCAACAACACCATCACGACGCATCCGTCCTGTAAATCACCGTAAACTAACATTACATAACTAAATAAAATAGCCTTCCAACAACAAAAAACAACGGCGACAACAACTACCACAACTACAACACCACTATGAACAACGACAATACAAAATTATCAACAACAACATAACAACGTCAACAACAACAACAATATGACAACTAAAACATGAAAAATAAACAAGCAATAAGTCATAACAACAAGCAATGCTTTCACAAAAACTGACAACGACATCAGCAGTGAAAACACAACAACGTCAACAAAAACATTTCAACAACAGCAACAACGTGACAACATCAAACAGCCCACAACAACAAGCAAACAAACCATCTTGTATGTAATGCATTCGTGAATTCTCTTGGCGTTTCTGCTATGGAATTAAAATGAATGGCAAACATTTTGTGGTGTGGTTGTTGTGGTTGCCACCATGTTGGTGTAGTTGTTGTTGCTGCCATTTTGTTGATGTCACTGTTGACGTACGTTCTTTCCGCTAACTTGCTGGTTGTTATTGTCATCATGTTAATGCTACCATGTTGTTGGTGACGTCATATTTTACTGCATATATTGTATTGTCGTTATTGTCGCCATGCTGATGCTACCAGGTTTTTGTTGTCATCATATTGGTTCTACCATGTTGTTGTTGTTGCTGTTGTTGTTGTCCTCGTGTCGAAGCTAGCATATTGTTGTCAATGTCGTTTTGTCGTTATTCCGACCATGTTTTTCTTGATTTGTTAATAATGTAATCTTGCAACGTTATCGTCACGATTTTGTTGCTACTGTTGTATCCAGTTATCATTTTGAATTTATTATGTTTATGGTGTTTTGGCGTTCCATTATTTTGTAGTTGATGTTGTGGCGTTCCATTATTTTGT